ATTAATATTTGAATTTTCTGTATTTTTAATATGCTTTTTGTGCGATGAAGTTTCCCTAGGAGTTTGATAGGTTTAGTGGTGTAGAATCGTTAGCCCCGCATCCTACCCTACTTCTTTACCCGAGTTTGTAACCGCTTAGTTGTTGTACAGTACATAATGGTTATATTATTCTGCAGGAACATTTTTGGTCGATCGTACCCAGAATTTATGTATTTGCAACTTATAGATACCAAATTGGGCCGTGATAGCTACAGCCACTGAAACAGAATAGTTTCGTTCTTACCGGCGATGAAAAGATATTGCGTCCTGGAAGGTGGGGAGAATAAACCCTTGACTGAGGAGTGGTGTTGTCGCACATATTATTCGATATCCATGCCGAAAATTCCATACTTGTACCAAAAATACGGTGTTGCATCAAGCTGTAATCAAAAAATAAAATATCATAAACGCAACGGTCCGGAAAAAGTGGAAGCACAGCCGACGTCGTGAGAAATCAAATTACGCTGGGATGGTTGGATTGTACAACACCAATGTACCTAGAGGATTTGTTGAAGGTATACCAGACAGAACGCCTACTACTGCATTACTCAGTATTACTAGATTGGTGACACCGTGATTTATGATACATACAGATGGATGGAAAGGACATAATTCATTGCCATCTGTGGCATATATTCCACAGTAGCCAGGGTGGGAAGTGAAAGTTTCCGCGCCTCCTTGCTAGCGGGATAAGGTGATTGAAAACACGCCCCTGTCCTACGTGCTCTGAGACATGATATTATACTGGCTGAGGTAATACACTACTTAAGCAAACCATAGTCCAGGATCAAGTCTTTCAAATTCAGTCGAGCTAAACTTCGTGGTTAAATGAAGCAAATAAAGTCAGTGTTAAATATATTACAAATACCAAGGGAGGTGTGAAGCTTGAAGTAAATTCCTCGTCATATTTTCGATATGTAAGGCAATGACACTTATTCTCGAATTTTCGGTATGATGGTATATTAATGCAAACTCATTTGTACACTTATTTCGTTTTCTCAGCACTGTCATCGTTGGTGAATTGTATTCTGTGCTGAAGAATAACTTGTTATTGAATAGATGGCTGAATTTACATTTTGCTGCCAGAGCCATGTTTAAACTTCCCACTGCATTAAGTCGGTGTTAGAACCCGAAAGCTTGACATTGTTCCTATTTGTAGTTCCATTGTAGTCTGTATGCCTGGTGATGGTTTTAAGTTGACTGCAGCGTAAAAAACCGTTTACAAACTAAGTATATTTCTTTTATAAATCATCAATACTGGTCGTACATTAAGCTAGTTAGCTCCTGCAAGTGATAGACTAGAAGCTTTTCTGAACCAACAAATTGAAGAATGATGTAGCATATGTACAGCAGTGACATCAAATCCGGTTTAACTTCTATCTAACTACAGATCAGCAGACCTTTCTCTAAAAGAAATAAAAGCGACGAAACAGACAACAAAGAAGTGGAAACAAACGACATATTTGGGCAATTACTTAAGCAGAACTTTGATATTCATGTATATAGGTTTTTGAATTTATTGTACATTCTCACCCAGTTAACATACATCGACATTCTGTTTATCTTTTCATATACTTATGTACTTAGGTGAAGCTTTAGATCGAGATGCACTAACATAATGGCATCCGCAATAGCTATCTCAATTTTTTGAGTGATTTTGTGGTCAAAGTTAGTGGTTTACTCTTAGTTTTCAAAAGATTTGTCAATGCTGTCAAAATATACTCACATTTATGGATGAAACGACTGTAATGACGTACCATATTGAGAAACATGTGTAAAGATTTCAGAGACGTTGGCACTGGGAAGTTTTGAATCGCCTGGACCTTTTCAGATAAAGGACGAATGTCACTTTCACGTGTTCCACAAAGGCAGTGAGTGGATGTCAATTTGGCACTTTGCTAGATTGATTGTCATCGAGTGTTTTAAAGTTACCATGAAGCTTGTTGCGGGTGATTACAAAATACAGATCTAGTTTCTTCACTGTAGAAAACCTTTCTACTTGGGAACGTGTTCCAGATTAAATCAGAAATAGATCTCGTCCTTGTTAAACAAATGCCTTAGAGTGACTTAGAAGAAGTCCGTGATAAGGTGAAAGTTGGTGTTCGTGTGCAGCGTTCCCCTGACCCTCATTGTTAGCTCCCGAAATTTGTGTATTCTTGCCTTACATCCGAATTCCCTTTGGTCGGTTTCGTAACCTAAGGCATTCATTCAAATCGTGTTCTATTATTGTTATTCCTCTGGGTTCTAAGTGGAACATAAGGCCTCAATAATATGTATCCACTCCATCATGTTCTGTCCACTTGTCTTCGGCAGGCTCCACGTTTACCCATGAGTTTCATCTCATACGATCACTTCCGTGCTATTCCCAGATGCCCAACTCATAGTCTCCTACTCGAGAGAATCGCGTAACATGTCACTCAAAGGTCTCGTCAGCGTGTGTCCGATGCATCTCCATTTTCTACGGCATATTTACTTGGCAATCCGTTGTTAGCTGATTCGTTGTCAGAGTCCTCCGTTACTAGTCGTTTCTGGAAGGCCGTCTGACCATCAGTGTTCAGCCTGTTTGGAGTGCTTTCTGTGACGTGCTAGGGCTATGAACCATATAGAGGAACTGACCTGAAATAAGTGTTGAAGATCTGAATCTTGGTCGTTATTGCTGAGTGAAAAGATTTCCACATTGCTTTCAAATCGGTGAAGGTCTTCGGTTGCTTTAACTATCCTACCCTTGATATTCTCATCCATACCGACCGCTTTCATTTGAATCTATACTAAAACGGTAACTCTGTGGGTTATCTTCATCACTTCTATTTTGTCTATTTTCTCTTATAGGCCTGTTTTGGAATCTAGACTTTCCTGCTAACTTGTTGGTTTTTGCCTGTAGTTCTTCCGGTTTATGTGACATTTGAGATAAATCATCCATGAAGTTCAGATTTTCAATGGTCTTATCAGTCAAGCATGTTCCTGTCTTTCCGTTCCATATAGTTTGTTGCATGATCCGTCCTGTCTTCACGTCAAAGGTTTCACTGATTTTCCCGTTGCAAATTATATGACACAATAATATAGTTCGTCATGCAGCCGATTACCTTGACAAGTTTGAACAAGGAAAGAACGAACACTTGTAAGGGATAATACGAGCTCATATTATTCTGCGAGTAGATTCCCTCTTCCTTTGATAATTTTATAGTCGTTAAATTGGGTTGACAAAACTTGCATCATTTTTCAGTGCCTCCAGAAGGATTCCATCTGCCTCTCAGTTGCTTTATAGCATCAAGAACTCCTATTATCTTTGAGGGACTGGTGTTCATTGACAGTTGTTTGGCCGTTTGTGGTGTTTCTGGAGTAGTTGTAGGTTGCCGTCGGCTCAGTACTACTTTGAGATGATCAGCCTATTGTTTTTGTTTCTCTTCTATGGTAAATGGGTTCCATTCCGTAACTTCAAGTGGTTTGATCTCCTTCAGCGCAGCGTCTCCGTTACCTGTTGAAGTGGCATGTGATCCCTACTATCTTCGGCCCGTTCTGATTCGGTCGACACTTTGCCTTAGAATGGTCTTTCTTTGCACTCTTCGCTTTATTCGATGCATTGTAAACATATATCAATTCTTCCTTCTGTCCATCTTTGATTTGGAACATCTGTTTCCCTACCGCTTTCTCTTCTTTTGGCTTTCATGTTTCTACAGACAGCGATTCCTTGATATGTTCTATATTTTTTCCTACGACAATATACAGGTCTTCTTCAAAATCACGTTCAGAGGGTTCCAGTGTTCTTCCACAGGTCTTTTCCGTGATGTAAAATAATATCTGCAGCTTACCCTAATGCTTTGCAGTCAATGTGTTCTCTGTGATATATTCTTTCAGTTTATGTAAGCTGAACATGAAATGAGACGTATCTGCCAATGCTGTGAAGCTTCGCTGCACTGGAGAATGGTCCCGATCGGACCCTCTTAATTTTATACCCGGCGCACTGCGTCTCCATTTTCTTGAAATTGAGATGAAGTCTATTTAACTTTCGATATCCATCAGGGTTATAACATTGATTACGTGCTCCGAAAAATAGTTAGCGCAGAAGTCTGCGTAAAATAAGCCATTCCTAATCATTTCGCCAGGATCCTTCAGGCAGATGAGTTCTCTTCCAGATTTGTTTGCATCTATGTCAAGGTAATTTTTATGCCACAATGATGAACTGCTTTATGTTCAACTCTCAAACTTACGTCGGCTGATTATCCTTATCAACGTTCCTCAACAGAATTCATCTGGAAGAAGATCACTATCGAACACATCTCTTTAATGTCTGTGGAACGTATGTGCAATGTAGAATAGATCAAAGTATTTACAATGATATTTCAGTAGTTGACATCTGCAAGACCTTGTGTTAACCCTCGTTCAACTGTAGAGGCAACAGCTAGGTGTTGGTGAAGGAATCGTGGAGAATGCGTAGTTCTTATATACATCATCGTTTTCGTGCCACAATCTGTTATTCATTCGTTGTACTTCGCAGTTTAGCATAGGTAGTTCCCCAAATTCATTCTATATTTCCGTGATGAATTGTTTGACTCTACATGTCTATTTATATGTGAGGAGAATTCCTCAATATCATTCTTTTTCATTATTACTACCGTGTCATCCACATGTCTCTGCCAACATTTCATTGATGACATGAATGGTTTAAGTGCACTTTCTTCACAGAAGTTCATGATTATGTCAGGCATAATTGGTGAGATGGACGATCCCGTGGCTTTACCCTCATTTTGTTGGCATATTTTCCCTCAAATGTAAAACGTGTATTCACTGGACAGAATTGGTGTCTTTAATGTCTCCTCTGCAGTTAATTGTGATCCGTGTTTTAGGCCATCATCTTCATTTATTCTCGCTTTTAGTGTAATCATAGCTAATATGTTTGAGTATTTTAGTACAGAGACTGTTTACATCAAAACTGACTAGTATTTCCTCTTCGTATATTTCAGTGGTTTCAAATCGTTTCTCTAATTCAAGTGAATCTACTATTCCAGCTTTTGAGTTGTCCCTTGTCGGTCTTAGTGTTGTCGTGTTTCTAAAATCTACAGTCCTTATTATCGCATACACAACTTTGTGCAGCTTTATCGCGCCATACATCCTCGGTATATTACACGAATTTGGCATGATATCAGACTATTTTGACCTACCAATCATTTCAGTCACCCGTCTAACAACCTTTGCTGTCTCTCTCTCACTGTTTTCTATGCGGTCGTTTTTGGTGATTTGATCATTAGGGCATAAGGCCCAGATCGTAAGCGTTCAAACATCTTCATCGTATATTTTGTTTTGGTGGGGATTACTGTTGTATCTCCTTTGTTTAGATGAGTAATCAGATTGGATTTATCTGGTTTTTATGTCTCTAAATGCTTTAAATTCTCAGTTGGTTATATATATTCGGTTATTCTGCACTTTATTTTTCAATGATAGTGGACATTATGTCAGTGCCTATTCTGCTTTTTTGTTTGTCAAATCCTTCTGAAGTTGTTTTAGTCACCTGTTCGTCTTTTTTGAATAATAATCATTTTTTCCAAAGAATAGTAACTTTAAAGAATGGAATTGTCAGTGTTCTTATTCATATTGCATCAATTTAGTTCCTTTTTTGAATGTTTTCGCACATAAAATTTAAAATAGAAATAATAATGCCAATTTGAACAGAATGCTGGTGGAAACATAATGGAGTATAAGCAGGTAGTATTATATTTAATGCATGTAATAATAATCCTCGCTCATTCTTTGCAGTTCAGTTACTTATATAAAAAGTTCTTTTCTGACAATAGACTTTTCACATAAAAGCTAAATGAATGAGGTGTGGTATAACTTCTTCATTTTTTAATAATAATGATAATTTGCTGTATTCCAATAACAGTACTAATGATACAGCAAGGAATTTTCAGTTTTCAGTACAATAATGCATCTATTTTACTCAAAAACGGTAAAAAAATTAAACATAAGCATTACATAATAATAATAAAACGTTGTTGTAGCAGCTACATAGCAAAATACTGTATGCCATACGGAGAAAAATATGCATAAAATTGTAGTAATAACAACTAAAATAAAATAGCGAAGTTATAATTAAACGATAGAAAGGGTGACACCATAAAATACAGAAAGATGGACGATGAAAGGGTCGATTCACTGTGCTAATTACATAGTAACTTGTAAGTTTCACGTCTAACAGAGTCTTCGTCACATAAAGTACGGGCTAAATAGGGTATTGTAGAATTTCTTTACTTAGTGGTACGAGCATATAACTTTTTATATTGACTTCTCGTCCTACCTGATGAGATACAAGGGGATAGTTGTGAATAAAGGGGTGCAGAGGGTCTGACAGTACAGCCTTTTCCCATTTTGTACAAGTATTTATGTGTCTCTTGACTATAGTATTGGCGAGCTCACGCAGTGGTAGACCACAAGCCCTACTCAGAGCATTTAATACTCTTCGTAGTATGATATAGTCTTTTTTGAGAAACCCAGGAAAGAATAATGGAGAGCAATAGAGTACAATAGGTAAAATACAGGAGTTTAAAAATTGCAAAACTAAAGGTTGGTTGATACCTGATTGTCTTAACTTTTTAATATAGAAGGTAAGGCGAAACATTTTCTTAGAGATAGATAAGATATGGGATGACCATGAAAGATCAGAGGAAAGAACTAATCCAAGGTATTTAATGCTTGACTTGGTTTCAATTTCCGTGCCATCTATGCTACAGGCATCATGCGAGTTAACTAGTTCACGTAAGTCACGTCGATGCTTGAAAGTAAAGTCAAGCGCCTGACATTTGGAAGGATTTAATATGAGACCATTTGACTTGGACCAGTTGTTAATGTCCGACAGAAAGCTATTAAGTTTGTAGCTGTCAGACTCGGATGTGATAGGCAGTGATACAGTCAGATCATCTGCATATTTGACAAAGTTAGTTTCGTTTGAATGAGGAAGGTCATGTAGGAAGAAAGAAAAAAGTAAAGGAGAGGGGACAGCACCTTGTGGAACACCGGATTTTGTAAGCGAGGTAGAAGAAGATTTGCCGTTATATACAGTATATTGCATTCTATCAGAAAAATAGGAATGCAACCAACTCTTAGCCCAGGATCCTGTTTGTGTCAACGATAGCTTATGTAACAAAAGGCCCCTAGGTACGGAGTCAAAAGCAGATCTGTAGTCTAGGACAGCACTACGAACATATATGGCACCTTCGTCTAAACAAGAAACAACATTGTGATATAAGAACCGCAGCATCCAAGGTACTTCTACCATGTTTGTAAGCAAATCGTTTAGGACCGTTAAAAGGTTTCAATGAAGGTTCAAGACGAAGTAAAAGTAATTTTTTCCATCAATTTTAAAAAAAGAACTGTCGTAAATTCTTATGAAGTGTCTTCTGGGTTTACGCAAGATAGACAAGGCAAAAGTTGAGAATAAAGAGGATGTTCAGTATCTGACAATATATCTTTAGTCTAACGCTTGGAAGAATTGAAATTTGTATTGACAGTGATGTCAGTTAGCTGAAACACACCACTCACCATCCTTACAGTGTTCTGCATAATATGAGAAAGTATTTTTTGAGAAGTCCACGGATGAATATTGGTGAACAATAACATAGAATGGGCAGAATACATGAATTAGCAAATTGTAAGTGAAGACGTTGAGTTATGCCAGAAAGTCTCAACATTTTTATGAAATAAGTCAAACGGAAAATTTTCTTGGAAATCGATAAGATGTGGGACGACCAACAGAGTTTCGAAGAGAAACTGATGCCGAGATAAGAGATATTCGATTTTCCCCCTATTAAATTTGCGTCAGTATTACAGGAATTGTTCAGCTGAATCAGTCCATGCAAGTCTTGTTCTCATCTGAAACTAAAATCAACAATTTGGCATTTAAATAGATTTATTTTAAGACTATAAATGTGAGACCATTTGTTAACTACAGATAAGAATCTATTCATATAGGAATAATTCGAATCAGGAACTACTGGGACAGATATGGTGAGATCATTCTCGTATTCAACGAAGTTAGGTTTAGAAGTATGTGGAAGGTCATACAAAAAGAAAGAAAAAAGGAATGGAGAGAATACAGCACCTTGAGACATACCAGTTTCCGTTAGCAACGAAGTGGAGAGCTTTTTATTCAAAATAGTGTGCTGTTTTATACCTGAAAAAGAAGAAGATAGCCACCTTGTGACCCAGGACTCTGTATTAGCCGAAATCAGCTTGTTTATTAAAAGTGCCTTAGGAAAAGAATCAGTGTAGTCTAAAAACGGGGCTTGAACAAACCTTTTGTATATAACAGGACTCGAAACGATATTGTGGCAAGATACATTGACGGCGTCTAAAGTACTTCTAATGCGTTTACAAATCAGCAGCTTTGGATCGCTAAAAGATTTCAAATAAGCTTAAGAAAATGCAGTTTTCAAAAATGGAGACGTGATGGCGATTGGCCTTAGATGATTTTGTTATAAACACCACTCTTATTTCTATCCATGCAATAGGTACTGTATCTTTGTGAAACGATGCATTAAAAATTTGAGTAAGAGGATAACGCAAAATATCAGCACACTTTTGAAGCACAACGCTTGGCACACCACCGAGTCCTAGGCTGCGGAATAGATTTAAGGAAAATGGACATGTCAATACATCTTTTTCATTAAAACCAGTAAAATGATTATTTGTGAAGCTAGAAACATCAGGTACAGCTATATTGGCTTGTTGCATTATAAGGCATTTACATCAGCATAAACACCAAATGAAGTCTTTTCTGCTTATAAAATCATTAAAAAGTACCCAGATGTTAGAAGTGTTCTTACATGATAAAAGTCTCTCATTATATCTCCAATTTAGTTTCTGTGTTTCAAACTTTCTCAGAGAGTTCATTTTTCGAACAACTGAATTATTGTGTGGGCAACAGTTCAGAATAGATACCAAATTCAAATGATCTTGAATCTAATAATTGTATTCTTGTAGGTGATAATGTTATTTCTAATGAATATAATGGACAACATCCATGTGTAATGCTGAGACACCCTATTGATGGCTCTATGGAGCTCACTTCCGCACCTCATGATTGATTAAGAAGACCAAGTCTAAGGTTTCGTAAAGACAAGCATTAAATTAAGGGAGGTTCCCATCACCGAGTGATACTTCAAAGTAGTGATCGCAACAATTAAGTTCCCACAGGCAATTGACAAGGAATTTCCGAAAAATTATTTATTATTATTTCTTTTCATTCCTAGAGGAATATAGGGCTTCAGCCGCGCGTCTCCATTGGTTTCGGTTTTCTCACAACGTTTTTCATCTGGCTCCAAGTCTGCCCACATGTTTTCATCTCCTTTTCAGATGACCTCCTGCGAGTCACCCTTACACTGACAACCAACTCGCCGCTTCCCTTTCGGGTTCCACTCGAGCAATGGCTTGTCTAGTGATGTCACTTAATGGTTTCTCCAGAGTATGGCCAGCCAATCCGCCTCTATTTCTTCCTGCTTATTTGTTTCACAATCGGTTCCTACTGGGTTGGTTCACTCATTGCCAGAGATCCCTGTTGCTGATCTTTTCTAACCGGCCATCCTATCTTGAGTATTGAGCGAAGACAACTGTTAATGAAGGTATGTAGTTTGTTTGAGATGCTCTTTATGACGCGCAATGCAAGTCTCTGATCCGTATAGTAGCACTGACTGACTTTATATTGTAGTTGAAAATCCGGATGTTGATTTTGATGCTGAATGCTGTTGACCTCCACACAGACATGAGAGTAATGAAAGCTTGTCTTGCTTTCCCGATTCTGGCTTTGATATCCTCGTCAGTTCCGTGCAGCTGTAGTTGAAGCGATGCTTCCCAGGTAGGTAAAGGAGGTTGTTTCTTTCAGACTTCTCCATTTATGCTGGCTGATTGTTGTCTGTTGTTGTTGGTGGTGGTGTTGGTGTTGGCCAGGAGTCTTCATTACACCAAACAGCCTAAATGGTGAAATGAAACAGATAGAAAAAGCACTGGCTTTAAATAACTATCCTACAAAATTCATTAAGAAGACCAAAACAGGTTAAAAGAAAAAATAGTGGTGATGAAATAAGTAGGAAAGAATTTAAATCATACACAGTCTTACCATATAAGGAAGCAACATCTGAGAGCCTACGTAGGATGCTCAATAAAGCGGGAATTATGGTACCATTTAAACCTACAAACTCTCTCAGTCAGGACAGGCTGTGCAGCTTAAAGGAGCCTACTCACCAAACTAGGCAAAATAATACAATTCACAAAATAGTTTGCAAAGACTACCAGACCAACCACATAAGCCGAATCAGTAAATTGGGGATAGTCAACTTATCCTGACTTCCTTAAGTTTTCCGTTGTGGATTACTTCGCATGCAGCATTGTCGTACAACTGTTTTATGTATATTCGTCGAGATGTACAATTGTCGGTGGCACCCCGTAGTAGCGAAGTACTTGCCAAATCACCTCTCGATCGACGCTATCGAAGGCCTTTTCAAAGTTGATGAAGTTGAGATAGAGAGGTGACTACGATTCCAAGCTTTGTTCAATGATGATCCGTAAAGTAGCGGTTTTATCACTTCGTGACTTGTTTCTCCTGAATCGAACTTGTTCCAGTGGAAATTTTTCATCCAGGGCTTTTTTGATTCTCTCCAGGATGATGGGGCTTTCTTATTTTGATTGGGATGGAGAAGAGAATGACTTCGTCCCAGTTCTTGCATTGGCCTAAGTCTCCTTT